CCTGATTAGACCAGAGAATGCACAGCAGTACAGATGGGAACTGGAAACACAGGGAATCTAGGACAGATGAACCCCTCAGGACCAGTGGTGACAGTGGCGATACCGGGAGGGGAGGGGGAGGTGTAGAAAGGAGGAATCTATCACAAGGATCTACATATAACCCCCTCTCTGGGGGATGAGCAACAGAAGGGTGGGTGAAGGGAGACACAGGGCAGTGTAAGGTAAGATATAATAATAATTTATAAATTATTAAGGGTCCATGAGGGAGGGGGGAGCAGGGAGGGAGGGGAAGGGGAAAAAGGAAATGAGGAGCTAATTCCAGGAACCCAAGCGGAAAGCGAATTTTGAGAATGATGAGGGCAACAAATGTATAAGTGTGCTTTACACAATTGATGTATGTATGGATTGTGATGAATTGCATGAGCCCCAATAAAATGATTAATAAAAAAAAATAACAAGGAAATAGGCCTCGGAGGAAGCATATAGCCAGAATACTCCTTCAAAGGATGGCAAAACTTGTCTCAAATACTTTGGACATGTTATCAGAAGAGACAGTTACCAGGAAAAGGACATCATACTTGGTAAAGTAGAGGGTCAGCCAAAAAGAAGACAACTCTCAAGGAGGTATCCACCGCCTTGATAGCAACAGTGTGCCGAAGCATAACGATTTTGAGGATGGCGCAGACCCCAACAGTGTTTTCTCTGTTGTACATAGGGTCGCTATGAGACACAATGAACTGGATAAAAACAACACCCAGTCATTTAGTGGGAGATACAAAGACTATAGCTAGAGGAGTCATATCAAATAATTTACTGAATTGCACATATATATAAAAACTTTACATATTAAATATGCAGCTTGATGAATTTAAAAAAAGAAGTGAATTTCCTTTTATTAAAAAAAACAAAAGCGATTATATGGTAAAATGTGAGAAATGTAATGGTGAATTTTCTATTTCGCACGGCAGGAAGAATAATATTTCAAAGCACTTGGAGACCCAGAAACATAAAATATATTTAAATACTGTTGCATCTTCCTCCAAAATACAGGAATTTTTTAGGAAAACAACTTATGGAGACGAAGACAATAAATTAGCATTAGCAGAAGGACTTATGTCACAAGTTGTCAAAAAGTTATTCAACAAAAAATTTGCCTGTGCTAGAACAAAATCTGAGGCAATTGTGTGTAATGTGCTTTCCCCATATGCATTTTCAGAATTAAGCAAAAATCTAGAAAAAATTAATTTTATATCCATATATTCTGACGCATCTAATCATAAGGATATAAAGTTATTTCCAACCATTACTAGATTTTTTTGATTCGGAAACTGGAATAAAAATTAGAATTTTAGATTTCATTTCTTTGCCCAGCGAAACTTCTGAAATAATTTTCAGTTCCATTATTAATATTGTGAAAAAAATTTTAAACATAAAATGATTGCATATTGTGCAGACAACACGAACGCAAATTTTGGAGGAAAAGCGAGAAGAGGTACAAATAATATTTTTTATAAATTAAACAAAAACCTTAATCAAAACATTATTGGTGTTGGTTGTGCAGTGCACATAAAACATACGCCATTCAAACAGCTGCTGATTTGTTGCCCATAAATGTGGAAAATATTGTTATTAAAATATATTCTTATTTCTATATATACACTGTGCACGTTGCAATGCTTAAAAATTTTGTGAAACTGCGGAAGTCGAATATCAGAAAATACTTGGATACAGTAAAATGCACTGGTTAGCTCTTTTGCCAGCTGTTGAAAGAATTTTGAAAATTTACGATCCTTTAAAATCCTACTTTCTATCACAGGATAAATTTCCTAGAATTTTAGAAGTTTTTTGAAAAAGAATCTTCAGAAATTTGGCTAGAGTTTGTACACAATCAAGCAGCTCTTTTTCAAAATGCTATAAAACCTATTGAAGGTGACAAAATGTTGGTAATCGAAGTAGCAAAGGAAGTTAACAATTTAAAATTTTAGTGTCAAAAGCAGTTAGAAAATAATTTTCTTCCATTAACTATCCATAATAGTATAAGCCAGCTAGAAGAACAAGGTTCAGTAAATCGTGCTGATATCATGAATCATGTTAAAAAGTTCTATAGTAACTGCATAGATTACAATGATAATGAACATTTTCATTGGGTTACATTAAAACAAGAACTTAATTGGAATGATGTGCAAAAATCATTCGATCATATTACTCAAAATTCCCCATACAGTAATATTTCCAAAAATGATCTTTTTGATGAGGCATCATTATTAAAAAAATATATTGATAAGGAAAAGGTTAAATCTTGGGCATGAGCAAAAATCACAATAGAGAACAAATGGTTAGAAATATTTCATCATTTTAAAACAAACCATGTTCCATACAATAATGCACTAAAAATTGTGGAATA